ACACACACACACACACACACACACACACACACACACACACACACACACATTTTCAGTAAAATCTATATCTATATATCTATCAATTTTATTATATCTGTCATCTGGCTAATGGCCTCCCTACTTTCAACTGCTGGTTGACACTTAATCCAGGATGCCCTGTTCTGAGTCTCACTCATCAACTTTGCTTTCTGTCTTTGACAAGGAGGCTTCAATGCTGTTTTTAGCAAACATTTCACCTTCTTTCAGGTAAAAAAAAGTGATGGTAAAACTTTAGACAAAAAAATTAAAAATTTAATTCTTTCATAAGTGTGAAAGTGTTGACAGTAATAATATACGAGACTACATTACTGATTTGAGTGTAATATTTGCTAAAAGGCAGGCTGAAGCAATTGTCAAAGCTAGATGTTTTGAGATTTGCAAATTTCTTTGGAAGATATTTTCAACACCTGAGGAAACTGGCTTAGAAGAAAAACAATTTTTTGGCACTTTTATCTCTCCTTGCCGAAATCCAGTCACCAAAGTTTGGCCAAAATACAATTTTAATGTTTTTAGATTTCTACATTCCTCATCACTTCTCATTGCCCATAGTTTAATGAGTCCTTTCAGAGTTTTTCAATGATTATTCTTGCTTTAAAATTGTAATCTCTTTGGTCTGTTCTGCTCACCAACATTGACTTACTTTTTCTAAAAACACTATTTGCTTGCATCACTTTATTTTTTTTTTATATTTATTCTTTGCATCACTTTATCTTGCTTAAAAACCAAGTTGTTCCCTGAGCCTGCTGTATGAAGGTTGAATTTTTCAGATTAACTTTAATGTGTTTTTTTTTTGGCATAATATCATTCCTCAATAGTTTCCTGACCTCATTTTCCATCTTTTCATACATCTACCTTCTACTTGCATTCAATTGGTTTCTTCATTGTTTCATGGTCATCATTCTCATTTTGACTTTTATCCCTAAATTATACTCATTTATGTACTTGGAATTCTCTCTTTGATTATTTAAACACACCCTTCTTCTGAGGCTACGTATTTCTCTTCCATGAACAATTAATGACTAGACAAACTCATTTTGGCCTACTCATTTTTTTGATTCCTGTAACTCAAGGGCACACTTAACCACATATTAGACCATAGACATTCTCATATTTACATTGGTGGTTTTGACCTTTGCAAGATCACAAAAGTCCATGTAATTTTTCCATGTAACTTGGTGAGGCAGACCTCTGAATCATACAGGTTTGAGGCTGGTGTGGGCTAGTGAGTCACTTACTCGTCAGCAAACTGGCCGATACCTTAGTCCTTTGCTTTATATTCACATTACAGTCTTTTGTAGAGTAATAAAATTTAACACCCCCCAAATGCAAATCCTTGCCAATACAGAGATTCAAACAGGACTCTAGATGATCCTCTCAGAGATGGCGAGGGCTTTGTGCTTTATGTGGCTTCCTCTTTGCGTCTGTATAGATATGTGGTCTGCCCAGCCAGTCAATAAAATTCACAGGAGAATGAACTATTCCAGAAATCTCTAGAAGGGTCCAAGGAAGAATACAATAATACCTTTACTAAACCAAAATGTATTGATTACCTACCAGACATGGTACCTGTTACTGTATTTTACTCATGCTCAGGACCTCAGCATCCCCTGTGATATGACATATGCTATCATGTAAATATGTACAAAATTCACCTGTCTCTCAATTGATGTGCTGAATAGGTCCCTTAGAAAGAAAGTTAGTACATCCAAAAAACTTAAACTGACATGACTTTATCATAAAAATCTAAAATGGAACAAGAAATCTATTCTGTTAGTTTGATCCAAAATGTGAGGCTTGCTTTTTTGATATTTTATGCAGAAGAAAAATAAAATTTCAATTAATGAATTACATGTATTATAGAGAGCTTTATTTAAAATTTAAATATAGATAATAATTATTAGTTAATAAAAACTACATATATAACATAAACATATTAAAATATGTTCATTCAATTAATAAAGATGCAGTGGTTATGCCCTGATTAATTTAGCTTATTATGACTAGCTATGTTATTTGCCATTTTCTCTCAGTATAAAAATTCTTACATATGATGGATTAGAACTTTATTTACTCTTCTTCGGATTGCCATCGTATGGTATATTTTTACTAAGGTGAAATGTGAAGCAAGTAAAAATGGTCCTCTAACCTTTTTTTTGTTTTAAATGCATCCTTCAGCTTGGCTCAAATGTCGTTAGACGTTCACTGCTTCTTTATTGGGCAGCCTTCTTGATGTATTGATCTATTTCAGTCCTGGCCTCAGTTAAAATTTTTAAAAAGAAAGAAAAACCTCAATGCTTAGGAAACACAGGAATTCACAGAGATTATTCTCAATGCAGGAGTATGAGAACACAAGAAAGGCTAATAGAATAAAACATATCCTTGAAGTGTTCTGCCCCTTCCTTTGCTATTCTTCAGGATTTCTAAACTACAGTGTCAGTACCAGACCTGACATAAGAGAGCAGGGAGTATAAACATTATTACACCAAACTTAATTTGTACTTAAAATGTATTCCTTTACTTATCACGTTGTATTCAGAACACATGAATCCACTCCAGAGTCAGTTGTGGAGGCGGTACCCAGTAATGGTACAAAGGAAATCAATAAATTGTTACTGTTTTTTCATATGAAGTATTTTATTTTATTTCCAGTTTACATTTTTAAATGTATGAGACAATTGCTCTAACAATAGCATCCTTTAGTTCTCACTTAGAATCAGGGGACTTAATGGGAAATGCACTGTGGTGCAGGGGTCCTGAGTACCAATGCCAGGTGTGGGCTATCTGTTGGACAGCACACTTCTGAAAGATTCTGTACTGGCATCTTGGCTTTTGGCAGACAACCATGATCTTAGTGTCTTTACCGTATTTTTTCTTTCCTGGGGGAATTGTTCTTAGTTGTAGTGGTGTGAATAGTTCATTACAAGGTATTCATTAACTCCTTGGTTTGTGGAGGAATCAAAAGCATTTAATTGACCAAATTTAAGTCTAGGTAGGCTACAGAAATCGTCCACTCTTTCAGTTTTGGTTTGAATTTGAAATCTGTGAAAAGTCATTAGAATCAGTTGCCTTATTAACTCTGCAGAAATATAATTCTTAGTTTATATTAAAAGCAAAATTATTGCTTCTCTGGTGACGCGGTGGTTGAGGGTCCACCTGCTGATGCAGGGGACACGGGTTCGTGTCCCAGTACGGGAAGTTCCCACGTGCTGCGGTGCGGCTGGGCCCGTGGGCCATGGCCACTGAGCCTGTGGGTCTGGAGCCTGTGCTCCGCAACGGGAGAAGCCACAACAGTGAGAGGCCTGCGTACCGCAAAAAAAAAAAAAAAAAAAAAAAAAAAGCAAAATTACATTTTTTAGATTCCGTTTTACAGGAAGTACTCATTTGATGCATTTATGCACAATTCTTCTACATCAAAACATTTTTCACTACAAGTACTACGCATATTCAACCTCATAATACGTGAGTGCATGGAAACAAGCATGAAAGTTCTTGCATCCAGCATGCTATCAATTTTATCTTCTTTGTGACATCCCTCTTAGAATCCTCCCTCCTCCCACCTCAGTGTTGCTGGCTTGTTCCGGAGGGCTGCCGATGGTCTCCGTCATCCTGTAATCGATCCATCATCCCAGGAATCCATGTTTTCCCCTTTTCTGGTTTTGTCTTCTCTTTGGAGGAAACACCTCCTCTGGTAATTTCCTGAGAAAAGTTGAGTGAGAAGTCAAAACTTCAAAACTTTGCACGCCTGAGAAATGTCATTAGCTCCTTTTCATATCGGATACAGGTTCACTGGGTGTATAATTCTGGTTGAGAATTATTTCCCTTCAGCATTTTCAACGTGTTTAGTTTTCAGTGCCTTTAAACTTTCAATGGTTTTTAGCTTCTTCTGCTCCAGTGCAAGAAAAAGTTACTTTTATTACTAAAATTACTAAAAAGGTAACTTAAAAGTTACTTATCTAACAGTCCTATAACGTTCTCACTCCAAGTACTTTGCATATGAACTCTTCTTCCCTTTCTTCTCCTCTCTGTAAGCTTTTATGATATTTGTTGTTAGAGTTGTAAGTTTTCAAAATCATATACCCTACGTCAGTCCTTTTTAAACTATTGTGCAGTAATCTGGAATATTAATGTTCCTAACTTTTAAAACAATTCTTGAATTATTTATCTGAAAATTTCTTCTTTTTTTTCTGTCTTCTCTTTCTTAAATGTCTCTTACACTATTTATACTCGAATTCTTAGACTTATTCTCAAATTTTGTTATCCTTTCCTTTCTATTTTTTTCTCCCTGTTTTATTGTCTTTGATTCTGGAGGATTTTCTCAGTTTATCTTCCAATGTTTCCATTCAGTTTTTCATTTCTGTTATTGTATTTAAAATTTCCAATAGCACTTTTGTCATTGTTGTTAAAGATTCTGTTTCTATAACTATAGTTTCTTGTTACATAGTGAAATATGGTCTCTTATCTCTCCAAGAATATTAAATAAGTTTTCATGAGCTTTTATTCTTTTGTCTTTACTGGTTTGGGGTTTTCCTCCTGAAATTAAAAAAAAAATCTGTTTTGGTCTCAGTTTTCTAAGTGCTTCTTTCATATGAGAGTTAAGACTGTTCTTGACTTTTAGTTTTTTTTAAATTTTTATTGGAGTATAGTTGATTTACAATGTTGTGTTTGTTTCGGGTGTACAGCAAAGTGAATCAGTTATACATATACATATATCTGCCCTTTTTCTTTTTTAGATTCTTTCCCCGTATAGGCCATTACAGAATACTGAGTAGAGTTCCTGTGCTACAGAGCAGGTTCTTATTAGTTATCTATTTTATATGTAGTAGTGTGTATGTGTCAATCCCAATCTCCCAATTTATTGCTCCTCCCCTTATCTCCTGGTAACCATAAGTTTGCTTTCTACATCCGTGACTCGACTTCTGTTTTGTAAATAAGGTCATTTGTACCTTTTTTTAGATTCCACATATGACACTTACCTTTCTCTGTCTGACTTACTTCACTCAGTATGACAATCTGTAGGTCCATCCATATTGCTGCAAATGGCATTTGATTCTTTATTATGGCTGAGTAATATTCTATGCATATGTGTACCATATCTTCTTTATCCATTCTTCTGCTGTTGGACATTCAGTTTGCCTCCATGTCCTGACTATTGTGAATAGTGCTGCAATGAACATTGGGGTGCATTTATCTTTTTGAATTATGGTTTTCTCTGGGTGTATGCCCAGGCATGGGATTGCTGGCTATACCAATTTACATTCCCACCAACAGTATAGAAGGGTTCCCTTTTCTCCACACCCTCTACAGCATTTATTTGTTTGTAGATTTTTTGATGATGGCCATTCTGACTGGTGTGATATGACACCTCATTGTAGTTTTGATTTGCATTTCTCTAATAATTAGTAATGTTGAGCATCTTTTCATGTGTTATTTTGCCATCTGTATGTCTTCTTTGGAAAGATGTCTAACTTTTTCCTAGTTAGGAATTAGCTCCTATAAAGCTAGTAGGAAGTTCCATGTTCAAAAATAGGTCTTTTCTGACATAGGAAACAAACTTATGGTTTCCAAAGGGCAAAGGAGAGGAGGGATAAACTGGAAGTTTGGGATTAACAGATACACACTACTGCATATAAAATAGGTAAGTAACAGGGACCTACTGTATAGTGCAGGGAACTATATTCACTATCTTGAAATAACCTATAATGGAAAAGAATCTGAAAAACAATATATATATATATATATATATGTAAAAAATAGACTGGGCAGCTTAAATAACAAACTTTTATTTCTCACAGTTCTGGAGGCTGGGAAGTCCAAGTTCAAGGTGGCAGCAGATTTTGTGTTCGGTAAAGACCCTTTTCTTGGTTATCAGACAGCTACCTTCTTCCTTATTGCTGTATTCTTTGTGTATGGTGGGGAGGGAGAGAGAGAGAGAAAGAGAGAGAGCGTGTGTTGGCTTTTGCTCTTCTTATAAGGGCACTAATATCATCATGAGGGATCCATGCGAGAGATCCTTCCTCATGACATAATTACCTTCCAAGGGCCCCATCTCCAAATACTATCACATTGGGGGTTATGGATTCAACATATAAGTTTTGAGGGGACACAATTCAATCCACAGCATATAATCATTTTAAATGAAATTTATTTATATAATGCATCTACACATTTCCACATATAAGGCTGTATATAATATTAAATAGAAAAATAGCATGGTGAAAATGTGTATATTTTGAAAAAATACAATATTAAAGTCATATTAGTATTTAATCATACTATTTTTCAGAATATAACATCTTTTTGGTCACTAAAACAGAAATATTAGTACTTTTCAATATCCTTAAATGCAACTTTAAGAATTGTTATTCAAACAAATTTTATAACACTCTAGGTCTTCCACAGTGTGAGTTTTAGAAATTATTTTAGGTGAGACTGGAAGGAAGACAGATATTTTTCTTTGATTTTCCCACATGCATTGGATGAAAAAAACATTAGGAAAAGAGGCATTATCTTACCAGAATGAATTGGGCTTTTATTTTCTCTTTCTTTTGATGCAATTTTTCTTTTTTAAAAAAAATATTTATTTCTTTGGTTGTGCCAGGTCTTAGTTGCAGCAGGGAGGCTCCTTAGTTGTGGCTCACGGGCTCCTTTGTTGCAGCTCATGGACTCCTTCGTTACAGCATGTGAACTCTTAGTTGCAACATGCATGTGGGGTCTAGCTCCCTGACCAGGGATGGAACCTGGATCCCCTGTATTGGGTGTGCGGGTTCTTAACCACTGCATCACCAGGAAGTCCCTGATGAAATTTTTCTGACTGGTCTTCTTGGCTGCCCTAAGATCAACTGTAGATGAGTTAGCTCAGTGCTCTTCTAACTTCTTTTCCGTTCTCAGTACGTTTGTCTAAATGATCTGCTTCTTTAGCAGAAATACATAGATGTTAGCAGCATTTCAATCTGGAGCAGGGCAAGGGAGAAACTAAACATGCACAAATTTTCTGGAATCACTGACTTATTCACCAGTAAACTTAGAATTTATCTCTGACAGAGACAAGTGCAGGGTGTTGACTGTCTGTAAAGATAATATATGTAACCGTGGGATCCCATGAAAGGGATATTAAAAGACACTCTAAGACTTTTGAAGGAAGGTCAGAAGTTAATTGCTGGCAATAGATTCCAGTTGACCAAGGAAATGGTTTAGAATAGGACCAACTCTGTGTAATAATTGAGAAAACTGGGGAGACTGCCAAGATTTGTATCCTAGATGCTTACTAAAATAAGTAAATTAACATTTACTAAGAAGATAGAAAATGATTTCGGTCCAGCAGGAAGAGGGGCTAGAGTTAGCTACATTAAAAGAAAAAAAGCATTTTTAAAAAATATTGTTTTTCAGATGAAAGTAGAAATCACAATTAGAGGAACAGGAAGGCTTACTTTCTCTTCATCTCACAAGTATTTAATATCAGAGAATTTCAAAGAATCTTCTGCCTTGCAGGTTGGGTTCTGAAAGAAGTAGAGTTTTGAGATGTAGTTTAGCTGAAGTTAAAGAGTGCTCTTGGGATCAACAGGTGGAAAAAGAAGGAGATATAAACAAGAGTGAATAGAGGAAAAAGTCAGGCCTTGTGACAGTCACAACGAACCCCACCCAGGGAGCTCTGGTGTTGGTGGCCTTTGCTGTGTCTCCAGTTGGCTGAGGTGCTAGAGCTTTATACCCATACCTTGGTGTAGAAATATAGATCAGCCTTCTTTGGGGAGACCTGCCAAAAAATCCCTAGAAAAATTTGCTTAACTCTTAGTTTATACTGTGCTGAATATTAAATGAAGAACTGTGAGTAGGTAGTCCATGAAATGCTGATTGACTAATGAAAGAATTTTGGACCAGGAATCCAGGTATTTGGGTTCAAATCGTGCCTCTGCCATTAACTGATTGTGAAAACACATAGTTCTTGGTTTCTCTTTCTAAATGTAGGGTGGTCATTAGGGGTATAAAGTATAAAAAAATCTTTTTTTTTTTTTTTTTTTTTTGTGGTACGTTGGCCTCTCACTGTTGTGGCCTCTCCCGTTGCGGAGCACAGGCTCTGGACGCGCAGGCTCAGCAGCCATGGCTCACGGGCCCAGCCGCTCTGCGGCATGTGGGATCTTCCCGGACCAGGGCACGAACCCGCGTCCCCTGCATCGGCAGGACTCTCAACCACTGCGCCACCAGGGAAGCCCTAAAAAAACCTTTTTTCTACAAAACTTTAATGGGTTATTTATCTCAATCATGGGGATATGTTATATGTATAAAAAAATCACCTAGACATCTCAAATTTTATAT